AACCCCGACTCCCACCCTCACACACCCCAAAACCCCAAAACCCCAAAACCCCAAAACCCCTTGGACAACCTCTCTATTGACAACTGTTATTAAAGCTGTGATATATTTATCTGGTCTATTAGAGGCCTCTGGACTTGGCTAAAGGACCTAAGTTCGTCCACTATTTCTCTAAAGTAGGATAGTCTGCTATCTTCAAAACTGAGCCCGTTCCTGACTAAGCTCTCGAATTGAAGGCTTCCGTACATCTTCTTTGTGTTCCTGAAGTTCCATTTTCCTACTACATCCCATTGCTTAGAGAAGTTGTTCTTCCAACTTCTTAAAAAGTCGCTTCTCTCACTGTGTTTCTTCCATGGATATGAGAAATCATGCCTTACTTTTGAAGGAGAATCATCTCTGGGGTTTATTGAGCTGGATCTAGACTCTTCCTTGCATTCTTCAATTGGGAGCCTTGACATAGACCTATAATGGTCTCTCTGGATGGAGTTTGACTTGCGTTTTCTTCTCTTATTCTCTCCTTCATCAGAGTAATCCTCTGAATTATAAGCATAATCGTGGTTTTTCTTCTTCGAAGTTGGCCTTCTCTTTTTCTCGTTAAGGACATGGTAATCAAAGCTCTCAAGGTCTGGGAAGCAGAGGGTCCCTCTTCTGTCTGCAGAGAGAGAAGCGTTCGGCTTGTCAACTGTTTGCTTGTGCCATCCGACAAGCTGCCCCCATATGTAAGTAGGGTCGTATTCTTTACATCCTCTGAATACAACCCTTTCTTCCTCGCTTTCAAAGGGATTAGCTGTTGTTCTCCTGTTTCTAGGATCACAAGTAACCTCTCATTTTCTGACTCTAACTTCTTCTCCTTGTACCTTCTTATAGTTCTCATTGGGTGTGAAGAAGACCTCTGTTTTTGAGTAAAGATATAGAGTATCAGCAAGACCTTCAGTGAACACATTTTTACTTTGGAATTTTCTCAGAAGGAAGCTCAACTCTCTGAAACCTTTCTGAATATTCCTGTAAATTTCCTGGTACTCTTGTTCTGAGCTGGCAAAGTCTGCATCGTTGGAATAACCCTCTAATTTCCAGAAGGCTCAACTAATTTCTCTCTTTTCATCATTCTCTTCAAGTCTCTCTATTAAGTTAAATAGAGTGTTTTTGAGGCAGGTTTCCCCAAGCCAGAGTCTTTTGTACATTTCTTCATAACGAAGTTTTCTCAGAGGAGGCTCCTTAGTTCCCATCCGGCTCAGTCAGTACTTGACTTTGTCAAGCGTAATCGCGATGTTCCCAATCCTGTTGGAAAGGATGTCCTTGGCCTCCATCTCACACATCTTTTCAGTATAGGTAGGATGCATTTTCTTCAAATATTTTGGAATGCTAGCACACTCATATTCACAGAATCTGAGGACTAAAGAGGTCCATTTGGTCAACCAATCAGGGACATCTGGGGTCAGAATTGAGCTCTTAATTCAGTTCCTATTTAGAACCTCTCTGTCCTGCTCAGTGATGGACGGGCTGGTTGATGCTAGATAGATTAAGTAGTTTCTATCAATAAAAGTATGGTGTTCTTTAGTAACTACTCCAAACTTCTTGCTAAATGCCTGATGGAGGTAATAACCTTTGCACTGATAAGTTCCTCACAGTCAAATAGCTGAATCATATTCTTTTTGGGACTCTGTGACTGATTTATAATCAAATGAAAGTTCTTCGCCATACTTTATATCTCTTGTTGCAAACATTCCCATTGAATAAGTTCCGTTATTAATATGAATAACAGTTGCACAGTTTGGAAATCATGAATGACTGAGTCTACTTGCAAAGCTCCCCTTGAGGATTGGATCGATGGTTAAAGAATTATACCCTTCAGGATCATCAGAATGCCTTTCAAATACAATATTATAAAAATCTGGCAATTCTTTTGATAGTTTATTTCTATTTTGACCGTGTTTTATCACGTCTTCTTTCTCAAACCATCTCCAGGAAGGATATAATTCACCGAAATATTCAGTGATGAACTCATTTGCTTTAATTCCTTCCTTTCTTTTGCACCTGACTCCTAGTCCTTTACAATGGATTCTAAAGAATTCATCTTGGATTTCCTGTCTTCCTTCAAGTGCTTTAAGGAGGATCTCTGCAAGCTGCTTGTCTATTTTGCTGTAATTATCTTCTTTCATGATTGTTTTGAGAGAACACAGGATATTCCATCCATTTCGATTTTGGTCAATCAAAGCCTTTTGCAGTGAGTTCATTATAAAACTGTATTTCACCTTTAAGTCTAAATTTGAGGGAAGTAGGAGGATGATATTGCAGCAGATATATCTATCTAGACCCCAAGAAAGGATCTCCTCAACATCTTTATCCAACTCAAGGTAGTCTTTATCTCTGATTTGCCTGTTTTTACAGTTTGAGGTCTTAGAACACCCACAATGATCACCTCACTCAACTTTTGCTCTTCTGCAAGGACAATTAGATTCCCAGTACTCTTCAGTATAAGTTAGGGGTCCTAGTTTATCAAATTGGTCGCAGCATCCTCCTTGGCAAACTCTAGTCTTGGAAGTTTTAAGTCTCATGAGAGTGTCGACATCATCAACGACTGGTTTGTATTCGTCAACAGGAATGTATTGTCTTTGGGATCCAATTACTTTATTCCATTTACCTTGAACTTTAAGGCCATAATTGATGCTAAACTTAAAATCCAGATCTTCCTTATACAACTTTTTGAAGGTCTTTATTCTCTCTTTATCTTTAAATAAATTGTGGCAGTAGAAGATCAACTCCGAGAGGTAGTACTTAGAACACTGGGTCTTGCACCTATTAGATAAGGTGTACTTTAGGAGGTACATAACATCTTCGTAAACTGTCTGTATTTTTTGGTAATACCCGAAATATGCTCTTAGTCCAATAATGTCAATATTGACTATCTTCGATTGCTCTATGAACAGATTTTCATAATTAGTGTCTTCTAATTGGTCATCCAATAATCCAATAGGCTTTATTGGTTTGATGAATTCCAGAATCTCACAGATTTCATCCTCCTTCTCTTCGTTAGAATTTTTACTCTCTTTGTAGGACGAATCTTGATCACTTTGTAGACCTGAAAGTTCATCCTTCATTTTGACCTCATCTTGCATGAGAAGATCTTGATCTCCATCTTGAGGCTTCTTATACGAGCCAAATACTTCATTCGGATCTAATTTATCAAACTTAATCTTGGAAGTTTCCTCCATGAAGTCAAATTCAGCTTCGTTATTTTTCGGTGCGGGGGATTCCTTCATACTAAATCAGCTATTTTCGGTATTAGTTTCCAGATTTTTCCTCTTAACTTTCCTATTAAATGGCTTTCCTCCAATTCTTGATAGGACGAGGTTCAGATTATCAGTGTCCATATCGTAGGTCATAAAGGCGTAGCCACTGGACTTACTCTTCCTAGTACACTCGAGATCTTTATGGCTAATATCAATATCTTTGGTATAGTTATCTGACGATAGAACTTTTAGCTTATCGAATCAATGCTTGATCTTATGAACATATTTCTTCACTAGGAAAGTGCATGATTTTCGTCCTTGAGAATCAGCAATCTTCTTATTGGCTCGCTGGTACTCCTCATCATCACTATTCATCTCTTCGAATTCTTTTGGAACCTTTTGGCGACGAAGAGAGGATCTTTTCTTAGATAAAAGCGGGAGATCCAAGCCTGAATTTTGTCTGTTGAAAACCTTGCTCCCTGCCTTCTTTCTTTTGGGGGTTTGCTGTTCTGGTGGATATAAGTCATCATAATGCAACTTTTGTTTCCTTTCCCTTTTAGGCCTCCCATCTCTTCTAATTTCAATTCTTCTATCACTTGAGTTGCTATCTGAGGCTGAATCTTCAGCTCATATAAGGTTTTGAGCAGGTATGCTAAACTTTTGGAATTCCTTTTCTTCTTCCTCCTCGATACTAGCGGATTTCAGATCCCTCTTTTTCATTTTCTGGAGAATCTTATTTTCTATTTCATCCAAATCGGGTTTATAATAGGCATGTCTTCTAAATGCTATTTCTTTATTCCATATCATTTTTAGGTTCATAGTGAAAACTGTAGGAGTGAGGATGCCCTCCTCCATCCAGTCTTCATAGTACTGACCTATTCAGGAGGATCATTCTAAATTTATCCTGTTCTGATAGTGTTGGTTGTTGAATCCTGTAGTGATGCCTCTTATAAAACAATTCCCGTCCAGAACATTCCTAGGGATCATATTTTTGTTTCAGATGTAGCACGGGATGGGTTCTCCTCTCTCTAATATAACAGGAGCCCTTCCATCAACAAGATTTTGTAACCCAGGCTTCACTCCAAAAGAAGCACAGTAAGTTTTATATCAATAATAATGAGAAGGGAGCTTGGTAATCTTAATAGGAGATGGATTCACGCTCTTAAATCCTTGCCCAGTCTGAAGCGGATCAGTTATATCTACTAGAACTTTAAGTCCTCCGACCTGGTTTCAGAATATACAGTTAGAAGATCAATAAGACATTGTCCTGCAAATAGCTCAGGGGTGAGAATTCAAATTCCATGCTTTGACAAATAGACCGTATCATTCGGAGTGTAGCTCATTCTTACACATAAATCAGCCAAAAAGATTCCTTGATTCACTTTCAAATATTGTTTCCAGACAGAAGGCGCATCGACGCTGAAAATTTGATTGACTGCTTGCAGTTTTAATGAAATTTGAAGTTGGGGACTCCATATTTTCTTTAAACATGTGATTTAATTTACTTAACACAATTTCGTTTTCCCTAAGTGGGGTTTTGGGGTTTTGGGGTTTTGGGGTTTTGGGGTTTTGGGG